TAGATACGTTTACATAGATCCTGAAACAATTGAAATTAAAATTCCTGAGAGAGGTCTCTTCTTCACTATGACTGGTTTCCATTTTGTTTCTTCAGATAGTTGAAACCGGTCATATTCAAAAGAGAACTCTCTCAAAGATTTTTATTTCAATTGTTTTAACTACTTTTTGTATATCGCCTTGACGGAGGATTATCAACATTAATTTATATATTCTATACATATAATCTATAAAATATTTCTAAAAAACATAAATTAATACAAATAGATCTGTGAACATCAGAAAAGAGACGTATTGCAATTCTAAGATGAACGTGACATTGAATCGTGTCATAAAGAAAGACTTCAAAACGACAGAAGGAATCTAGCGATCGACAATTGCAAACAAACCGAGGCATGGTGTCAGCAAGGTGCACATATCGATCGAAATACGAGTAAGAGGTGCGAACGCCAATCGCAGCTTTATACACACAAAAACGCATATTTGCACATCATCTGTGTATTAGACATGAATGACATGTATTAACATTGTAGTGATTACATCTAGAGGTCATGAAAAGAGAAACATAACATGCTAAAAAAACATAACAGATAATTTTACATACAAAACGTTCATATGTTAAATTCAACTGGATCGCCAGGAGTGTCAAACGTTTCACAAATGAATGCTATATAGAAGAATCCTCACTTAAGAAATCTAGCCATCTGATTGGTCGAAATTGCATTCATAAACTTTAACTATTTCTGTAAAATTCCCAGTAACCATGGTTAAAACAGTTCTAAAATCCCAGTAACCATGGTTACCGGGAAAATAGTTCAGTCTCCATGGTTACCCCATAGGTTTACATGTTAACAAATGGTTTGAGCGATTGAGGATACCGTACGTGTGCGAAGAATTGGTCGGTATTTTCATACAAGACAAGACAATTCCAAACAAGACAAAAATGGCTCAAGAAACTCTCCCAAGATTTCAACTTATCAAATGCAAGACTCGCTGACAGCAAGAACAACAAAAAGGGTACGTGAAATTATCCATAAACATGTTCGTTTAGTTGCTGAAAAAGCATAGACGTAGACTCTAGACGAAAATAAATCTAGTTGTCAGGGTGTCTGATCGCGCACCTGATGTTGTGTGTTAAAATTCTTCCCATAGAGTTTGCACGCAATGCAGTCGCTATGCAGTCTACGTGCATTGCGCGACCATGCAAAAAAAAGTTAAGTTTTTTTTTTCAATTCGAGATTCAAACCTTTATTTGTTGTGATCCTGAAGGTGATACTCAATAAGTGAGGTGTCATATGAAAGCGCAGGTTCTTCTCCATATTACCCACAGGGCCGGCCCACCCCCAAAATTGTAAAAATATCTTGCTTAGACTAGAACCTAGATCTAGTCTACTCTCAAAGATACACTTAGAAAAAACAACTGTGCAGATAAACTAGAGAAAGGCCAAAGTGGTGTCATTAGTTGACTCTTTTGTTTTCGGCATATAAAAGTATTAATGACTGCTTTAAAATTCGTGAAATAGTTGTTTTTATACGCTCAAGGGAAGGTTAGAATTGTGCTATTGCCCGAGGCGTCTCTCAAAGCAGTCATTAATACTATACTATTACCTTTTAAAGGTACTATGTCCCATTTGCAGGCCAAAAAATGAAAAAGTTAAATTCCAACTGCATTTGAAAGATAATACTAATTTAGAACTTCCCTAAAAAGGTGGGGCTTAAAAATGTCTTAAAGTGGGAAAATAACGACTATTAGTTGTCAAATCGACTTTAGGGCTATAGAGCCCTAAAGTAATAGTCTTGATTTTCAGACAATTGTACCGAACGGTCATACGTTTTATGCTGCGCAATGATTCAATGAGTTTAATCTTGGCCATCACACAAAGTGGGTTATTGATGTAGACAAATGCTCATGTACCCTTTACAACTCTTTTCATGTATGTTATTACCAAAGAAGAAAAAAAAGCCAGTCAGTCACTCAATAGTGTCTGACAGTGAAGTTTAGCAAGTAAACGGGTTTCCTTGCATAATTTGAATATGAGGACACTGCTAACGTTTAAATTTCACAGATATGACATACAAGACATATTCATAATTCCTGCAAAACTCTACAGAATTTGAGGTTGGCTGCAAAAGGGACATAGTACCTTTAAAAACAAATATTGAAGTAGAAGCAAGGGCGATTGTAGGTATTTCAGTCAAAGCCTAGTGGCTTTAATTCAGGAAGAGGACTCTTACTTCACTTTCATTATATATTTTATCACTCTTAGGACCATTAAGGAAGCTCAGTCTGGAGATTTGTAGATAATAATAATATTAATAATATTGGATATTTATATAGCGCACATTTCCACCTTGCAGGGTTCTCAAAGCGCTTCAATATTACCCCGGCTCTGCTAGGCTACCGATGTCGGTGCTCACAGCATTCAAGGAATTTCTTCCTACCAGTCCCCATTTACTTCACCTGAGTGGAGTGTGGCAAATGTAGATCAATGTCTTGCCAAAGGACATTACTGTCGCGCTGAATATTTGAAACTAAATTTAATAACAATTTGGCTGAAATCATTTGGATAAAAATCACAATAATACGTCTACTGTGAGTGGAATATTTTTAACAAGATTTTTTGTTTGGAGAGCATAATAGCATAACTTGCCTGATGTAGAATTGTGTCTGCCATTGAAACGGTTACTGACGAGTCATGTAAGGGTGATATCGTGGAAAAAGAATAATTGCAAAACTAAAAATACAAATATACCGGTATATCTTTGCCTATACATTCTTAATAAACTCAGAAAACAACGAAATACAATGACGCATTGTGTGTACGTGAAAAAAGGGTGTCTCACACTGGTATATTCAAGGAACTTTCTACCTTCTTAGTATAATAAGCTGCGTTATGAATTAAATAGTTATACCAAAGAGTGTTGTAATAAGTATTGTCGAGATCACAAGCCGACAAGCTGAGTTTATTCTCAATGCACATAAAGAGTGCAAATTGTATAGGAAAGACATGATCTTAACCAAGTTGGAAAGGTTTGGCGGTTCAGTCGAAAATTCGAGATTGCGCCCAGTGTTTAAGGGTATGTTTTAAGGCTATAGTATTAGCTCCAAGGTTGGAAATTATAAATCAGGGAGAATCCGATTTCTGTCTACCTACACACAAAAAAATGGAACTAAGCATGGTGAGTAAAATTCGTAGCTAACTCATTCAGTCGAGAGAATATATCTAATTAATGCATTATTTTACATGACACCACCTTTCTCTTAGTGAAATTTTACACACATGATATTTAAAACGAGTATGTGACCCGATTTTAAAGTGCATGTAAGTTAATATTGGATGAGTTTTCTCCCACTTTATTGACCGAATGAGTAAAAATATTCACAAGTGTGTAGAGTGGCTTTTATTCGTTGGATGAGTAAAAAAAAAAAAAACCCTGAGTCTCTTCGAAGCTGTACTCGTCTTAGGAGCTATCTTACTCTCTGCATGCGTGTAAATATTTCGCTGATGAATATTCGTACGCGTTCGTGATCGTACGTACGTACCCGATCGTCACGTTTTAAGCAGCCGACGAGCCACAGAATAAGTGTAAGTAGATTTTATTTTTCTTAATTTTGAATCAGTTAGTAGTAAGGGGATCCCTTGAATTTTATTCAGACTTTTTTCAAAACAAGTTAAGGCTACCGATGATATAGAATCTAGATCTAGTGCTGAAATTTTGAAGCTCTTCTTGTGTACGACCGAAGTGTATGGAGTGCATGGCAAAGGACTTCCATTTTTACAGTGACAAACATACAACCTCACAAATTTACTTCATAATTCTCGTTTCTTATTGCAAAACACTAGGATTTCGTCGCACAGAATCCGTCGAAATCTCCGCAATCGAACGATATTCGATTTATATTTGATATACATTTGTTGATTGGACCTCGGTCTTTAATACTTCACGTCAATTTTGTACTTTTGTGAATAGTCCTTGTGGCTTTTATCGTATTTATCGACATGGAAATACATGGTTTTGACGGCCCACTGCCGAAAGAACGGCGATATAACTTTACTGACTGAGTAATTGAAGCATTACTTACTAGTAGAGTTGGAGCGATTTACTCACAACATTAGGTTTAATAAATAACTCACTTATTTAAAATACTCATTTGCCATGTCACTATAATGTCAAATTAACAAAACTCATTCCTGTGCGTTATTAGACTCAATTTAATGAGTTAATGCATTCAGTTAAGTGTGTCACTTTAGTGTCAAAATTTATTTGCTATTTGAGTAAGATTACCCAAATATTTCTTTGTGTGTAGTAGACAGCGTTTTCGTTCTTGTTGTATAGGTCTCACATTAGAAAATATTGAGTCATACATTATGCTATGGGTGAGTTCGAAGGTGGCTGGTACATCGCTCCCCAGATTAAAGTCGTTCTTCTGTCGAGAAGGCATTATTAAAAGCTGCCGCACATTTGTGTTTGGTAGATACGTGCAGGTATTCCTTGCCTTCTTCTTAAAGAAACAGGGAAACGCCCCGGTCATTTATCTTTCAACAGAAAATATTCTTCCTATGAGATCTACAATACGTTAGCTCCTAAATGGCAATACGTTACAATTAATTTAGTGCATTGACAGCCATCTAAACATTTAGATTAGTTTTGCTTTTAAAAGGTGAGGGACACGATAGAAAATCCATCAGAACAGCAGTGCGGTTAAGAAAGTTCAAAGTGAAGATCACCAGGGGGTGATAATTTGTAACTTGTAGAGATAATCCCGATGGCAGCTATCATACAGCTAAACTGGGATGTCCGTGCAACGTGCTGGCATAGTGACAGTGCATTAAGTAATTCAAAACAGTGAATGATGTCTATTATTTACAATAAAACGGTGGACGTACAAGTAAAAACCGAGACGTGGAGTCTACAGTAGCTTGGACCCAACAGGAGGAGGCAACGCTCTGATGATGGGTAGAGCAGCCTCCTGGAAGATGGTCACTGTTGGAGATGTTACCGCAGCAGCTGATAGGTGGTTCCACGTCCAGATGGTGCGAGGATAGAAGGAGTACTTAAAGCTATCAATGGAAGCTGGGATACTGCATACTTCAGAGGGTGATCATTTCTGTCCAGATATGTAGCTGGGATAATGTGAGTGGGAAAAGGCATGTTGAGTTAATGATGGTGCATCTTGTAAAACAAAGTGGACTGTGCAAGAAGCCTGCGGTTGTGAAGGGTATCCCATCCCAGTTTGTTGACAAGTTCTGTGACTGATGTTACCCTCCGGTAGTCTGGGTATACAAAACGGGCGGCAGCTCGCTGAACTTTCTCAAGACTTTGTATTGATGTCAGAGTCCGAGGGTTCCAAGCTTCACTGCCATACTCAAGTTGAGGACGAACAAGCATTGTGTAGGCTTTGGACTTGATGTTCTTGGTGCACGGTGATAGGGTTCTGCTTAGGAGGCCAAGGGTTCTATTGGCTTTCTGGGTGGTGAGTTTAGCTTCTTGCAGTAGTATATGAGTGTCAGAGGGAGAGTCGATACGCCGGTAGATGACACTGTCATCTGCAAATATACGCATTGCGGACTTGATGTTGAGTTTGATGTCATTGATGTACAGCAGAAAAAGTACAATGACAGAACCCTGCGGTGCTCCTGAAGTAACAAGCATCCATGCTGAGCGAGCACCATTGACGACGACAGCTTGATGTCTATTCGCTAGGAGTGACACAGTCCAGCGGAGAGAGTCTCCCCTGATTCCGTAGTAATGTAGTTTGGATCTAAGGTGTGGATGTGGTACGCGATCAAACGCTTTTTGGAAGTCGAGAAAGACGATATCAGTTTGGCCTCTAGATTATTTCTTATTTAGGCAGTTTGGTAGAACAGCATTTATTTTCAGTGATTATCAGTTGGTATAGGGTTTATTAACAGGCCCAATACTCGGCATTATAAGTATTATTTTTGTGATGGAAAGCTCAATAGGGTTCTTAACATTGATTATATATTTTTCAACCAGACAAGCCACAATAGACCCGTTGTACCTGACCTGACATTTATTCATTAATTTCTTCATTCTTCTATTTTTAACACGAAACACATTTTATCTGGTTAAGGCAACCTGAGAACGTTAGTACAGTGACAAGAAACGACAGCACTCGTAATCATGTGTGACATGTTGAATACCGACATGGCGGGATATGAACATCTCTGTTACCTGACTTTGTGGGTTTCTCCACATGATTTTTTATATAATTTATTCCATCTTCAAATTGAATCATGATACGAGTAGATCGCTAATACAAATCCAGTGAATTCACGTTCCGTAAAGGCTATAATACATGCATGCTAGCTGTGACAAATTTGCTATACTCTAGTTATTAGGATGCTGAGATAATTTGATATATATATCTCGGTTGTTCTTTTGCTCTCTTAACATAGATCACGTGAAAAGATCTATTGGAATCACCATTGGAGCCAATTACGTGACCAATTCATGTTGATTGATGGACACATAATTGAGCAAATTTAACAGTTGTAGCGTGGCAATTATTTGAGACATCCCGATAATAGCATCATGATCTATCGTACCCTCAACTCAGCTGTCTGCCTAAAAAAGACATTGAGACGCGGAATAGAATAACAAAGATGGTGGGTTTCTTTAGACAGCTCAGACGAACAGTACGCAAAACAGAATTTAATATTAATTCCTTCTTTGAGATTACACCAAAAAAAATTTGTGTAAGTTTACTCATAAACAAGTGTTAATTTACTGACACTATAATGACACACTAAATGAGTAAAATTTACTCATCCAATTTAGTTTTTTCTCTTGGTACTCACCATGTTAGTTCCTGTTGTAATGCAGATAAGTGAGGTTTTACAATTGACACTATAATGACACACAAGTGAGTATTCTTCATGAGTATTCTTCAACATACTCATGATTGTGAATCTTGTTTACACACCATTACGAGTGAATAAAATAATTTGGTTTGGTGATTAATGATGATGGGCATGCGCCTGTGAGTTAATCATTTAAATCATTCACGAGTAATTTAATGTTATGCTAGAAATGTTAGAAATGTTAGTAATGTTAGAATAAGTGCTCACCTAACAATTAGAAGAAGAGTCTACGTCTTTTTTCCCCCTAAAAACGCAAACATCAAACAAACTCACGGGTATTCAAATAAAAACGAAACAAACTCTTACTTACGCCTTCGCTCTTCCCATGCACGTCAGCCAAAGATTCTATGGAGTCTATTCTTCGGCATTGCATGCTGTAGTATATTATTGCATGCATATGCATTCCATTGCTTGGCCCCAGCATGCGCGAGCTCGCGCATGTGGTCGTCGTACTCAGATTCGTGGATGATTTTCTCCGACTCTAGATCCTATACACATGAAATGAGTGAGATCACTCACTTGACAAGTAACATAGTATTGGAAGTTTTCGAAGAACGAGTCAATGAGTAAACATCCCACAGTTTAATGAAAACTCAGTGATGCGTTAATGACTTGGTTTACTGACTAGGCAGTAGATTTACTCATTTAACATGATTTTCATCGAGAACATGAGCATGTTTACTCACTTTTTCTACACCAGTTGAGAATACTCGTTCAAGTGATTTTGTTTATATAACATCGAGTAAAATGAAACTCACCAAAGGCGGTAACAAATGTGATGCTTGGTCATGTACTCCAGTTTAGGTGTAAAAATACATATTTTCGACTGCAATTCACCCGACTATATGAGTTTGTTAAGGGTTTTACTCAAAACAGGGAGTTCTTGTTTTTTGTGTGTAGTGATGAATCTGAAGGAGAACGTATCGTAATTGCATTAATATTATCATTACTATTATTACGTTTGTTATTATCATTACAATTACAAATACTATGACTATTATTATCATTATTATCATCATCATGATTGCTAATATTATTATCATAAGCATTATTACCACTTTTATGAGTATCATTATTATTAATATCAATTCATTATTATCATTAATATTAATATCATCTCAATATTATCATTATACCGATTATTATTATTACTATTATATTATACTCATCGATAGAAAGGTATTTATTTGTTTAATAACAATATGTCAATATCTAAGACACAAATATAGTAAGCACGTATTAACAAAAAAAGATAAATGCCTGGTAAGTCAATATAAAAAATCAAAAGGAGTTCAGATAGTGAAATGAAAAGCTAACATATACATGTCTAACGGAAGTATACAAATATAGCGTAAACTAAAATCACTACCCCGCATAATAGCAGCACATTGGCAAAGCAGGCATATCTCTCCAAATATCAGGGCAAAATTGAGCTCAGATATCTAAATGTTTGCAAAACGTGTTCAAGTTGTATACACCTTTTAAGAGTCTGTCCATTATATTGACGTGATGCTCTGTATAGAGACGATCAACAGTATCATTATTATTAACATCTTAAAAATATAACACAGATGACCGAAGATGAAAGCAACATGTTATTTTGGTTAAATCACCAAGTATGTAGGCCTTAATTACTCCATCGGCTTATTATTTTGGCCATGCAATATAGTTCTGGCGTCATATATAAGCCCTCTGATTGACGAAATGATACTTTTACACACTGATGTGCTCATCTATTTTAGGTTCTTGAAATTCCTTTTATCTTTTGTTTTTATCTGAAAAAAAACATTGTGAAATACATATCAGAACATTGTCTCACGCAGTCTTCCAATTAGTTCAATTGCCTCTTCTTTGTATCACTCAATAGCTTTTTTACTTACCCTAATCAATTTTGAACAAAGTGCAACGACACTGAGTTGCAATTTTGCAATTATTGAGCATCAGTTGAGTCATAATTTCTACTTTGAAAATTCAAAAGCTATTGGCAATTCGAAGCGACGAGGGTATACTTATAACACAGAAAATGAGCTGCTATTGCATATATCGCCTTTTTTCTTTTAAGCCTACTATTAGTGGATTGATGATCCTTCATGCTTCATTCATATAAGTGTACAGGGCTACAGGAAATGTAGATTGGAATGCATCCATATATCATGATGGGTATCATCTATCTTTGTAGACACATTATATCTCGAAATGAGACTAGGGATATAAATGTTTTAAATGTGTGTGTGTGTGTGTGTGTGTGTGTGGGGGGGGTACCTCAATTTTCTATTGTAGGCCAGCTCCCTCTTTCCTAATTTAATCATACAACCTGTTCAACATGAGCTACCTTCTAGATTGTCTTTGTCTTTCCAACTTTAATGCATTTATTAGTAGTCATTCTCCTTTTCAGATTTCCTTATCTACCTGTCTTCATCGTATTTGCATGACTATCCTTACAATTTTACAACGATTATGTGCTGCTAATGAAACTCTGTGTTCTCAGCATGGTTTAGTCTACATTACATGCCTGCATTCATGTAAACAACGATCTCATGCTCCTTGATGGAACAGTTATCATAGGTTCCGTAGCTTGGATACAGAAAATGGTTGATACAGTATCGAGTTTGTAAACATTGATACCCTTCATGTTTTAGACAAAACCTCATTCACTTGCCTTACTTAGAAATCGTGACAGAAACTCTAACACTCATAATATTTATGTTGACACCGAATCACCATCTAAGTAAGTACACTCATCTTGTCCAAGGAAAAATAAATATGAGACTATTGAAATGAAAATTATAATGTCACATATGTTATGATTATGTAGTTTGCAGATATTGATAATTGTGCAAGATTGTGATTTTCTCAAAGTTATCCATATGGAGCGTATCAGAAAAAGGAGTAGATTCGAGAAGGTTCCAAAAGAAAAAATCGGACCCTATCTGCCATTTTATTTGAAGGATTAGTTTTGTTTTTAATGAGTGAGTGTTTATTTAATTTAGGTGAGCAGTGCATGTGACTATAATTGAACAAGGACAATATGGGTTGCACAGAAAATCCATAGTTTGGAAATTATATGACCGTCGTTTGATCCCAGAACATTCATCTAAAGGAACAACCTCCCTACCCATCCCTACCACCGACAGCGGAATGCATTGCTGTCTAGACCATGTGGTAGACTCTTCTCTGGTTTAGAAGGGGTAGGTTAGGGGAATAATATATCCGTTTAGCCTTGCGCGATTTACACATTGCAAGTTGTATCGATTTGTTCATAGATCA